TATATTTCCTCCACAGTTAGTGTCATTAATTTGTCTTCCAAGGTACTTCTTAGAAGTTGTCAAATTTATTTCAAAAAAGATTTCTGTAATATGCTTTCTATATCCTTTTAAATTCTGTAAAATCTGTGGTAATGTCTCCTAGATCTTAATACTGTAATTTACAAAATGTATAACTGATATTGTGTAACAGGAAGAAAAGGTCTAAAAGAGCAGGGGAATTGGCAGGAGGAGGGGAAGGGAAAAAAGGGAAAGGAAAAATATGAGAAGAGGAAAAAAAATGGAAACAAGGTCTTTGCAAATAGGGAAGGGTGTAGGGGGTGAAGGGAGGACAAGGGAAGGGGAAAAAAAAAAAGAACCAAGAGAGTCATGTAATGGTGCAAGATCCCAATGATGAATGTAACTATTTTATACCTAAAATGTACCAATAAACTTAATGGGGGGGGGGAAGAATAATATTGTTTGTGGTTTAAAAAAAGGATCTAGTGTATAATTTAAGCATCTGATGATGACAGTTTTCAGTTTTTCTTAGTTTTAGGTCATTATAATATTGTACATTCGTAAAGTGGCTTAGAGAGTGTTCTAAAAGTTACTTTAATGCTGATATTTTTTTCTGTTCACAGATAAAACGGGAAGTACAGTTTTGAAAGATCTGAAATTGGTCAGTGATAAAATCAGATCACTTGGATTAGGTAAGTAAATTTCTAGTTTTTAAAGTGATTATCATTGAGAATCAAATGTTAAGTGAAGTGACTCCATGATCCTATACTGAGCACTATTGTTCACTACTGCTCTTCACTCAGCAGGTGTTTGGGCAGTTTACATGTGTCCAGGGTCACTGTGGCAGGGATGGTGCTAGCAGCAATCAGAACAGACCTGTTTTGGGGAGTTCAAACTCTACTAGGGGAGAAAGACATGTTTTGCAAGTTAGAGGGCCAGAGTCCCTGGGTGTGGAAATGGGTTGTGATAGCTCAGAATAAAGTAACAAGGAGTTGATAATGAATTGGTGCTGCTGCACTCCATTAGGGCAAAGGACAGAGTAATGGTGAGTGTGCCCTGTGAAGAAATGCTCCTAAGAACCTGGAATAAAGACAAGGTATTAACCACATTTTAGGATGTGGTATAATCACTTATAACAGCTTTGGTCATTTGCCTTCATATTCTATGGTAAAAATATTTTTGGTCTTTGGTGCTTTTCTTTTAATGATACAGTGCAAGAAAGTAATGTTTTGGCAGGACATGTGTATTTATAGATAAATCATGAAATATTTTATGTAAATCTTAACATGTATTTTCTTAAACTTACCAGGGACTGGAGAAGAAGACTATGTTGATGACTTTAATAGGTAAGACAATTGCTGGGAAAACATATAAACGTATATTTGTAAATAATTATTGTATATAGACAAGTGTAACAAAATTACGTTAAGGATTACTTTAGTGTATTTGATTCTGTTGTGTTGATTAAGGTGAATAAAAGATAATCCAAAATTATATGTTTTAGAGCTTGTTCTTCATTTGACACTCACAAAGAGGATATAGTCTGTTGTATAAATATTGAGGAGTTGATTCAGAAGTCCTTTAGAGTAAGTCAGTTGCCATATCATGAGTGCTGTTTTTAATTCATTTTTGAGGTGGGATTGTCTGCATTAAAAAAATATTACCCCCTGCAATTATTTTTCTGATGCAGATGATATTTCTTAATGTTTTGTTTTAGGTAACTTTCTTGTATACATGAAAATAATCTATGAGTTGCCTACTAGTGTGGAAATAATATTTGTTGTGGGTATGATTAGAAATTTTAAATTACATGTCTGAGAATTTTATTTCCAATTGGAAATTTGTATTTTCTTTTGGAAGGGGGTTGATTTGTTATATAGTTGTTTGGAAAGATAGTATGACGTGGAAATTTTAGAAATTTTGGTCTGTTTATTGCTGTTCTATTCAAAGTTACCATTGAACCCTAGTTTCTGATCTGCTAGATTGACTCAATTATTGCTGCTGCCCTTGCTAAGTTATTTTAAGGATCAAGTGAGATGATATGAAGTTGATGATATTTAATGTATTTTACTCAAAAGACCTGAAAATTTAAAGAACAGTAGTTACTGTTTTCAGAGGTCTCATTTCTTTTTTCCCCTTGTAATTAGTGCCACCCATCACTCAGAAAAAAGTGAGCTAAGTATTGGTGAAGAGATTGAAGAAGATCTTTCAGTGGGAGTAGATGACATCAATAACAGCGACAAAGTATGGTGTTACACATTTCTCATAAAAGGCCCATTTGTTGATTTCCTGTGAGGCTTTTGAAATTTATACTAAGTAGTAGAAAAACAGGTAAAAACTCATGACAGATTGGGACCTGGTTGGTCCCAATCTGTGAAGAAAGTCTTTACTGAATATGTAAAATTGTTTTAGTTGTCACTTATGTCGGTACCTGAGTTCCTCTGACATAATATTACAGAGACACTGGTCTTGCTGCTGTCTTAGGAAGACCTCAATCTGGACTGGAGTCCAGTTTGCCTGCCCAGGTGTTGTAGGCAGAAGTTGCATAGAACATGTGGCCATCTCAAGGATTGCAGTGACACTTGAACAAGCAGGAAAGGGCCCAGCTGGAGCTATAGCAGGCAGTCAGCACACTGGGAGTTAGTTAGGGTTTAAAATCAAGAGTCCATATTTGAGGTCCACCTTTGACCTTTTCATACCACAGAGAAGAAAGCACACTTCGATGATGACCCGTGACATCCCAGTATCATGACTCTGTCCACATAAGCAGCCATCCACAGCTCATGTGGCCTGCCTTTCACGTCAGGGTCCATATGTCAGGGTTGGACTTAAACAGGTATTGTGATTGTCACATTGGGAGAGAACCTTTAGAGAGATCACATTTTCCAGTGAAGCAACACAATAGGAGTCAGCAGTCTGGGTTTGCTTTCTTATTATTTTAAGTATTATATTTTCTTAGGCAAGTTTTAACCTTTCATCCAGCTTCTTTATTCATTAGATGGAAATACTAATACCTATCTAATAAGATTATTTTGAAGGCTAAGTAATAGTATGTAAAGTATCTTTACTGATACATAGACTTAAGTAATCTGTCATTCTTTTACCTTTTCACCCTGTGTCATCCATAAGAGGCCTAAAAATGTTGCTTTAAAGTTATACCAGAGAAACTAGAGTATTCAGGGATTTTGTTGAGGGAGTTAACGTAGAGGTCAGCTGTTAACCTTTTGGTACTCTCCATATTTCAAAATGGGGATAAGAATGTGAGGTAGAGGACATTGGAATAAATAACTGTTGAGCCATGGTTTGTGAGTTGGAGTGGGTAGAAGAGGAGATTGTAAACACTGGGTCTGGCACATTTGTACTCTCTAGGAATTCTCATCTGTAAGTGTAACTTCATATAATTGTGCCATATATTAGCAGCCTTTACGTGGAGTAGACATCTGACAGTTGTACTTCATTAGGTGGCATTTTTATTGGGTTTTTTTTTTTGGTACGGGGGATTGAACTTGGGACCTTGCACTTGTGAGGCAGGCAGCAGAACCACTGAGCTAAATCCCTGGCCCCCAAGGTGGCATTTTTAAAAGATTCTGTGGAATAGTGGGCACCTGAGGAATAAAAGATATTTATATTCTTTGCTGTAGTGGAGCCTTTAGCTAGGGTGCTCCAAACCTGTATCTGTTATGCACATACTAGCACTATTTAGAAAGCATGATGCTAGGAACATGGGCTATGAGAAAGTTAGGACTGTGGAGTAGCCAAGGTTGCAAGTCCTGTAGATCTAGATTTGAATCCTGGAGCTGCTGTTTCACTTGCAAATTTGGACAAGTTATTTAACTTTTTGGGTCTTAACTGTTTCATATCTTTTGCAAGTGAGTGGTCATTGTGAGCATTAGATTAGTGTGTAATGCATACAGCTCAGTACTTAGCAGAATAGGCATTCAGTAAATGGTAGCTATAAATCTTACTTGTAGCCATAAATCAAGTAATAGACTGCTTTCCTTAAGTTCACATAGGATCGGAGAAAAGTTGCATACATAATGTATAAAACCTCAAGATAGGAAGTGATAAATACTGTAAAATGTCTATCTTCATGGGCTGTGAAAACTCAGAGATGGAACATTAGAGCTGGATTTTGAAAGATGACTGATCTGGATGTGTGTTGCGGGAGCAACATGGTGAACACAGGGCTGACGACAAAGGGAGTGTACCTCTCATGTCAGGGCTCCCCTGGAGGCACTGTGTGAAGAGATGCAACATGGTGGGAAGAACAGGGTTCTTGGAAGCTGGCTTTAAGCCCAGAATGACAGAGAATGAACAGGAGCAAAGGCCCTGAGGAGGGGAATGTGCACAGGAGCCAGAAGGAGGCCCAAAGGCACAGATGGATGCTAAGGGAAAGGGCCTGCTCTCCCAAGGCACAGCAGGAATGTGTGCTCAGGTTCTAGTGAATCCACAGCAAGCACATTCTCAATGACACTTTTTTGAAGCTTTTCGGAGATTTTGGAAGAGCTCTTCGCTGCTTATTTGTGTTAAGCTTCTATCACAGAGATCTACTATTTCCTTTTTACGGCTCAAAACATGTCTTTATATATTTTTATTTTGTGACATGAAAATTCTATTTTTATAGTTTTGAACCAAAATGACTACTTGTAGTTCTAATTCTAAAATTAATGAAATATGAAAGCCTTTATATTAAAGAGCCATTTGTTTCTAGTTAACCTTTGTTTATGCATTTTCCCTTCTTCATAACGATTTTAAATTAGGCTCTTTTCCTTTGGAAGTTTTTGGTTGTTAACAGTAGTCCTTTTTCTTTTTAATTTAAATTTATTTTTAGCTGATACTTAAAACATTATGTGGTGCCATGTGATGTTTTGATACGTGTATACATTGCATAATATTTAAATCAGGTTAAACTTATCATTTCTTTATGGTAGAAACATTCAGACTCCTTTCTTGTAGCTTTTGAAACACACAGAATGTTATCCTTCTTTGTACTTACCCTTCTATGCAGTAGTGGCCCAACAGAACTTCTTTCTGGCATCTAACTGTAACTTAGTATCTTTTGACCAGCCTCTTTTCAAATCTCCCTTTCCCACTGCTCTTCCAGCCTCTGATAACCACTATTCTACTCTCAACTTAGAGCAACTTTTTTCAGTTCTACGTATGAGTGAAGTCATAAGATACTTGTCTTTCTGTGCCTGGTTCATTTTGCTTAACATAGTGATCTCAGGTTCTTTCTGTCTTGTTACACATGACAGGATTTCATTCTTTTTCTTTTTAATGGCTGAATAGTATTGCATTTTTATATATTTCACATTTACCCATTTATCATCTAGTATCATCTAGGTTGTTTCTGTTTCTTGGCTGTTGTGAATATTGCTGCAATGAAGGAGGGAGTGCAGATGTCTCTTTGACATTCTGATTTTCATTTCTTTTGGATATGTACCCAGGAGGGAGATTGTTGTATCATATGCTTATTCTGTTGTTAATTTGGGTGGAGAACCTCCATAGTGCTTTCCATAATGGCTCTACTAATTTATATTCCCATCACCAGTGTACAAGGGCTCCCTTTCCCCACATGTTGGCCAGCACTTATTATTTTATGTCTTTTGGATAATACCCCATGTTACTGGAGTGAGGTGATACCTCATTATGGTTTTGATTTGCATTTCCGTGATGATTATTAATATTGAGCATTTTTCATATCCCTCTTGGTCATTTGCATGTTTTCTTTTGAGAGTGTGTATTTAAGTTTGTAGCCCATTTTTAAATAGGCTTTTTTTGCTATTGAATTTTTTTGTTATGGAAAAGTCAACTTTGCCATTTTAATGAGAAAACAGCCATAGATGATGCAAGTGGGTGTTCCTATGTCTCATGGTCCAGACAGGATGAAGTGTCCAGTTTACTCAAGGATGGATCTAGGAGAGGCAGAAAAGGTTGGGCTTTGTTTTTCCTCATCCATCAGTGGGACCTTCCTGTATATTTTCTGTATTTGGGAGCCTATGTCTTAACACTTGGTTTTCCCCTTTAGTAGCAATGTTTTTTGGCCCCATTATGCTTACTTATCTATTTGCTTTCTCTATCATCAGCTTAAGAAGTTTACAGGAGTGAAATATTTTGGCTAATACAAGTTAACTTTCTAGTTTTGTGTAGTGTAAACAGAAATAGCAATCACTCATGTCTGTAACACTGGTGGGCCCAAGGCTGAGCCTGCAACTTCATGGGCTGTTTTATCTGCCCATCTGTTTCACAGCAGCCTACATGAGACCAACCATACTAGCTTCAGTGGACACATCCCTCTGATGTGGAAGAATATCTTGCCACGCTTTCAGTTTCATATTATGAATCTGATATTTTATAGCATCGTATAAAACATAATAAATAGCTTTCAAATGAAATATTGCACATTTTAATTAATTCAATAAAATTTAATGTCAGTAAATTAGGGTTTTAGAGAGTTGATCCACAGAGAGATACTTTCTGTGAACAGAATCACATGTTGGAATTGTGCTCAAATAAGGGAACTTATTTATAGTTTCCCACAGATTTCAGTCTCTTAGATTAAATTGAAATGTCTAGGAAGTTGTTTGCTTTATTTTCAGTTTTCACATGTAATATTTGAGAGTATAATCAGATAAGGCATTGAACTCAGAAGGCTGCACTGATTTACTAGCTTTAGGCTTTTGAGCAAATCACTTCTCAGCACTTCAGTTTTTCCACCTGTCTTATTAATTTTAAATAAGAACTAATATAAAGAACTATATAAATAAAATATTTAAATTATACAAGTAGCAATAAATTTTAAAAATTACTTCAGACTCTACTTGCATTCTGACACTAATTCTTTTCTTTCTTTTGAACCATAAAGCTTGATGACCTCACACAAGACCTCACTGTTTCCCAGCTCAGTGATGTTGCGGATTATCTGGAAGATGTCGCATAGACCTGAAGAGAAAGTATTCTAATTAACAAAGGACTCCTCAACTCCACTTTGGGTTTGTTTTTTTTTTGGACAATCAATCTTTGCTGCACCCTATCGGTGCCTTGCATTGCAAAAAGACTGCAGATTTTTAAAAAAATAACTTTCTGTTTACTAAACAAAATGTGTCCTATGTGAGTCAATGTGTGGAAGATTTAATATTCTTAATTTGGTTTAGCTATACATTTCTCTGTGTAAATTGATTATCTAACTCAAGTTTAGTACAGGGAGGAAATCCATGAAAACATCAGTGTTAAGGTCATGAAAGGTTTGGTTGGGAATTTAGCTCAGTGGTAGAGGCCCTGGATTTGGTTCTAAAACAGTGTTTAAAAAGCATGAAAGGTGTCAGTGAAGATGTAGATTTGCACATCCCTGCATGTGTGCTGCTGCTGATATACATGATCTTTGAGAACCATAGCTTCAGCCATCTGACAGCAAAGCCTACCTACTTAGTGTATTTTTTTTATGATATTCACTCCATATTCTTTAATATGTACGTTTTCTTGCATTGTGATTTTTGTTTTTCATTTGAATATTTTAAAATGTCAGGATTTATATGACTCAGAAGGCCTCTTTGCTTCCTTTTTGTGACATTTTTCTTGATGGGAAGGAGATAAAAGTAACGCAATAAAAGAGCATAAAAATGTCCAGATGCCCTGGAAAGGGAGGGGACAGTCCAAGTCCAGTGTTTCCTTCTAAACTGTAGCATGCTATGACTTCCCATATTCTGATTCCACGTGGGCTTTCAGCAGTCATTATAAGATCCCAGGAAACAGTACCTGGGTAGGACATAGAGGATGACGCAGACAAGTGGTATTCTTCCAACACCACAAAATTGGCTTCTTAAAAATATATAAAACTTTGAGTTTTTTTTAAAAAAAGCTAGGGCCGGGGATTTAGCTCAGTGGTTCTGCTGCCTGCCTCACAAGTGCAAGGACCCAAGTTTGATCCCTGGTACCAAAAAAAAAAAAAGTAAATTAACACATGGCTTCTGGTTCCTGTCCTTCACATTAGAGGAAACAGTGAGACAGCAACCAACTGCTTGGTCATTATGCTGATTACAGTGTTGATCTAGCCAGCTGTATTTTGTTTTCTTTAATCACAGCTTGCTTGGCAAATTCATTAGGATTAAGTCCCAAGTTCTCTTTTAATTTATTGAGTTCAAAATCATGGAGAATCCTCATAGTCATTAACTTTTCTCATCTGAGTCTGTCCATAACATCTTTTGGAACATCAGGTATCATCCAGGCCAACAAAAATATGACAAGAAACACAGTGTGTTCCATAATTATGATGAATGCCATCTTGAGGGCAAGGACTTCCCAGAATTGCATATTATAAATGTATTTATTCTCATCTCCAGGAGGATTTCTGTAATCTTTGTACCTGCAAGTGATGATCCAAAGGTATAGTGTGGTTTGGAAAATCTACTGTTAGGAATATTGATAAGCTGTTATTGACACATCCATTCAAAAGCTGTGTGGTATTTGTTGAGTAGGCATAGTAATAAACAGGGAATGATGTCTGATGTAAATGTAATAGTAAAAGCATTAGTTACAACAGAATGGTCAACCATTCCAGAAAGACTGTCTTGCCAAACACCTGTGCTATGAGCTTTAGCAGCTGCAGGTCTCCTGCACTGAGTAGCAAGTTGACAGGCATCTACCTGGATCTTTACATTATTTAAGAGAGCAAAAAGAGGAGCAAAGGAAAAGAGCCACAAATAGTATGACAAATCCAAACTATTTCTAAGTAGTCATAGAATAACCCAGGTTGTCCAAAACTTACAAGGTTGTGATTGTGCTCTCAGTGACTGAGCATTGGTCTGAGACTTTTGACATCTTCACCAATTAAAAACCAAGGGATAAATAGCTTCCTTAATGTTTGTGAAAATCTACTTCCCCATCATGATGGTCAACTGGATTGTCGGTTCTATTAGCCTCTAGGATCCCTCTCTTCACTTCTCTGGAAACATATTTTCCAGATTAGCCCATAAACTTCCCTTTAAAGAAGGCTACATAGAAACAAGAGAATTAAAATTTTACAAACTTAAACAAGAATGTTTTCAAAGTAAGACTGCTCTCATATTTCTGTTAAGTTTGAGAAAATTCCATGTAGCTATAATCCACGCAGCTGTCTTTTCATAAAAGAAATTCAGGATCAAGATGACAGTAAAGTTCAAGCATGATCCTGTGTAGCTAACTGGGGAGTAAAGATCATTTTGACCTCCTGTAAAGGTGCTTCACTTTCCATGACATTTCCTTTGCAAATGTAGCAAAGACTGACAAGTGGTACATGATTATAGCTGCCATACTGGTGACAAGAACCGTCCATAATGTCACTGTGGATCCTGCTAAGAAGTACCATGGAATATGACTACATAAAAGCATGTAAGGTTCCATCTCCTCGGTCACTGCATTCATTTTCCTGTGTTTACAAATGGCTTCAAACTCGGATCTCAGCTGGTGTTGCTGCTGCTTCTCAGTGTCTTCCAGATTCTACTCTTACCCCATTCTGGATAATTACTTTTTCCAAAACTCCAAAACCAATGTGAAAACCTGGGTGTGTTGCCAAATTGTAAGATTTCTTGATCATCTGTTCTCTCTGAATGTAGACTGAATATTTGAAAGGACACTCTTGACTCATTATCAGGTAAATGGGAAACTTTGAAGCCAAACAGGTGGTATTTAGTCTCCAGTAACCACATACTTGATCACAGAGTGGACATATGATCATCTGACCTCCAGCGTTAGGGTCACAGATTTCAATGCTATTTGGGTTACTGTGCATTTATAATAAGCCATGAATAAAATGCAGCTATGCCAACCACGTCTTCAATGAACAGCATTTCTGTGTAAAATCCGAGAAAGGCAAAATAGCTGTTTTTCCTCCATTAATAATCCCTAGTCAAATCCAAAGGCTGCTCCTTGTAAAAATAGGAAAACCAAGCCAGCCAAGTTCACGTGAAGTATGTACCTTTCATTGACAGGATTGAGAGGTATTGGCCTTGTTCTGTGAAGACCTCCTCCCAGCCTCGCGACAGGTCTGAGTGGATCTTTGTCCTTAGTTGACAGGCTTGCCAGTGTACAGGTGCACCCATATTGTGCACCACAGCTAGCTACTTTCATTAGTCTCAGACCTTGCATGATTCAGCTGGCTCCAGGCAGAAGCAGCATGGTGGAAGGAACTGGTGGAGAAAAGCATTTCATGACATGGTGTCCAAGAAGCAGAAGCTCACTTAGTGTATTTTGGTACAGGGTAGTTCTGCACATAGCAAAATAACCTTGTAAGTTTGTGATATAAGTTAAATCTGTTGTGTCAATTTTATTTTGTATTTCCTTCCATTTGGGAGGTTTGTTAAACCATTAAGTTTATATTAAAGTACTCTGTGTGTGCTGCTTTTGCTTGATTTAAAGAGATCTAAACCTAATTAAGACTTGTAGTTCATAGAATTGCCAATAACACTTAATATTTATGGTCACTCCTATTCTGTTGTAAGCAGCTTTAGTCACAAGCTCTCTTCACATAATTTATTATTTGTAAAGATGCCTTGAAATATTAAGTACCAAAATGCATCTGAAACCATTAAGTAATGCTTTTATTTCAGATCTGTGATTATATTTAAATCCAAATTGGAATGAAATGGTAGTAATGGCCTAAGACCGTACAAATTCAATCTAACAAGCTTTATATACTGTACATAACTTCATTGTAACCCTTTAAAAACAGACCATATTAGAATTTTCAGCAGTCTCATTCATTGTGCTACTGTGATGTAGGTCGCTGACATTTGTAATGCTGTCTTTAATAGGAGAACCAATTGAAAATGATACATGTATATTCATATAAATATTTGTAAAGTTATGCTTATGTTAATTTTTATACTTTTTAATTTCAATTGAGTTTTTTGTTAAAGTTACCATTAATAAAAAAAGCAAAATTAGATGTAATTCGTGGGTCTCAATAAATGAACAAACTGGTTTGCATAATGCCAGTTTTCTATTTCATATGTGACCTAAGAATTACAGAAATATTTTTGGGCCCTAAAATGTAGAGGAAATGAAAATTGAGTAAGAATTAAGGCTATCTGACATTAGAATCTGGCTAAGTGAAACTGAGCTATAAGCCCCAAGAGGAAGTAGGGCAGAAAATGGGCCAGGCAGCCTGGAAGCCCCCAGGTACTTGTGCCCTCACTGTGTGGCCCAGATCTGTCGCCATTGGCTTTTCCCATCTCAAGCCAGCAGTAAAGAGCACTGTGTGAAAATGTGATCTGTGCTTCTACACTGTTCCCACTTTTAAAGTATTCTAATTCTGTCCCTTTAGAGTCTGGATCAACTGTGTTCTTTGTTTTTAACATTTGATAGAAACTGCATTTCAGTGAAGTTGAGTGAGGGCATAGCAGGATGTGGCTTTTTAAATTTGTGGAAAACTTTGAAACGGCAGCAACTGAAATTTGTCATTTTCTGTTAACCAGAGACTGATCTTTTTGGATCAGTGGGGAGAAAAATACCAAATTTGCAACTTTGTCATCAGCATTACATACATCTTACTGAATAATTGAGAATAACTTAAAATTCAATTGTGAAGAAGTTTTGTTTCCATTGTAGTCCTTACTTAGATATTAACCTTTTAAACCTTAAGATATGAAGTGACAAGTTTTGTGTGTGGTTAGTTTTCTTTTTCTTAAAAAAGAATATTAACTCATGAAATACTTTTCATTGTAACCTGTATTTTATATTGGAGTTTTAAAAAAGACTAAGCCTTTCATTTTATTGCATTAGAACTACATGTGAATAAAAAGCATATATCCTTTTCTTGCTTATTTTCTCCCATACCCTTGAGGTATTACAGTATATGACAGCAGCAGCTATTGTGCCATGTGGCTCTGGGTTCCTACCTCACTGTGGCTGACCCTCCACTACCTCTCTTGGTCATTCTGCTGGAGCTGAGTAGGACAGGCTGTGCTGCAGGCCTCCAGATCTCAATCTGTCTCCAGATGCTGTGTTTGCCCCTCCTTGTGTGTAGTGTCCTTCCCCAGAATTGCATAAGGCTTATTAGTCTGGCTGTCATTTTCAGAGAAGGTTCTAGACTAAGGGAGCTACCCCTCCATTACACACATTGTCATGTTTACCCTTTTGTTTTCATCTCTCGTCACTCTGAATGGTCCTCATTTATTTCTTTGTTATTTGTAAGCTCCATGAGAGCTTATAAATGCTGTATACCTATAACAGCATTTGCTGTATACCTATAACAGCATTTGTCCCTTTATAGAAACAAAAAATATGGGTTGTGAAAAGACTTTGTAAGCACTAGCAGAGGGCAGGGGAGTGTAGGTTCTACAGCTGACGTTCACAGACAGTGTCATACAGTTTTGAGACAGCTATCCCTACCTTAAACCTAGAGGTGCCCTCAGCTTCAGGTCTGCAGATGTGGGTGGCAGGGCTGGGTCTGGCTCAGTAGAAGCTCATCCACCAAAGGCTATGTGGAGACCTTCCCACAGAAAGACGTGCCCTCTCCCTGGCTTGGGTGGACAGTGGCACTTGAGAGAAACAGTGCCCTTGAGGTCAGTGGACCCCCTTTTGGTTAGGATAGGGAAGAGAAGCTTCACTCTGCTGGAGAAGCATGCACCCAGCCCAGATGGACTCCACTCCTGCATCGGGCATTGGGAAGGGCGCCCTTTGGTTCTGTGCCAGTGCTCAGTCTCTTACTTTCCTGACAGTCCACACTGCCAGTTCACCTATTGTAGGACAAGCATATCTGGGGAGACAGAAGACTAAAGACTAAAGCAGACCTAATTGTGAGATTTATAGATTTAAAAAAAAATTTTATTACTACGCATCTGACATACATAATGATTACATTCATTATAGGGAATTTGAACCTTTACAGATCTTAATTTTTTCCCATTCCCCTCCCCTCCCTTCAATCCTTCCGTTTTCCCTTCACAAAACTTTGTTTCTATTGTTTTCCTTCCTTTTTTTCTTTTCACTTAGTCCCTTCTTTCTCTTCCTGCTCCCCTATTCCTTGTTCCCCTTCCCATTTGAACATATTCTTCCTACTTTTGAATATCATCCATTTTGGTCCTCATTTATCCTTTGAGTTTCTCACATGAGAAACAATCGATTTCACTTAAAATTATGTTCTCAAGGTGCATCCATTTATCTCAAAATGTCTCGTTTATCCTTTATGGCAGAGTAGTTAGTATTCTATTGTCCAAAAACCACATTTTCTTTATGCATTCATCCATTGATGGGCATCTGTGCTGTTTCCAGGATTTAACAATTACAGCTTGTACTGCTGTAAACATGGGTGTGCATATGTCACTGTGATACGATGCTTTGAACTCTTCCAGGAAGATACCTAGAAGGGAAATAGCTGGGTCAAATGGAACCTCTAGTTTTGGTTTTTTGAGGAATCTCTGTATTGATTTCCCTATTGATTGTACCAATCTACACTCCCACCAACAGTGGAGAAGGGTTCCTTTTTTTCTCACAGCCTTGCCAGCATTTGTTACTGGTTGATTTCTTGATAGCAGCCATTCTTTCTGGGATGAGGTGGAATCTCAGTGTTGTTTTCATCTGCATCTCTCAAATGACCAGTGATGCTGAACATTTTTTCATGTATTTATTTGCTGCTTTTACTTCTTTGTCTGAGAAATGTCTGTTCATTTCAGATGCCCATTTTGGAATTGAGTCTTTAAATTTGGGGGATCTGATTTTTTTTGAGTTCTTTATATATTCTAGATATCAATCCTTTGAGGAATAACTGGTAAACATTTTCTTTCCCCATGCTTTGGGTTCTGTTCACACTGTTGATGGTTTCTTTTGCTATACAAAAGCATCATTTTAATATGTGATCCCAGTTGTTGATTGTTTGTAATATTTTCTGTGTGACCAGGGTTTTATTCATAAACTCTTTGCCTACATCTATATCTTGAAGAGTTCTACCTCTGCTATTTTTCAGCAGATTATTGTTTAATATTTACATCTTTGATCCATTTTGATTTTAGTCTAGTGAAGGATGAGAAATATGGGTCTAGGTTTAATCTTTGACATGTAGAAAGCCAGTTTTCCCAGCACCATTTATTAAAGAGCCTGTCTTTCTTACAGTGAAGATGTTTGACCCCTCTGTCAAAGACAAGATAGGTAGGTGTATTTGGAATTGTTTTTGCATCGTCTATTGTGTTCCATTGATCATCATTATTTTTAAAAATTTTCATATTTTATTGGTACATTTTAGGTATACAATATGATGACATTCATCATTGGAAATTTGTACCTTTACATAATCTCTCTTGGTTCTTATTTTTCTCCCTTCCCCTGCCCTCCCTTCAACCCCTCCATTCCTTCCTATTTACAAAGACTTTGTTTCCATTTTTTCATTTTCTCTTATTAATTCCATTCCCTTCTTTACTTTCCCCTACTCCTCCCACTTCCCCTTCCCCTTTGGAGATTTTCTTCCTATTTCACATTTGTCTATTATACCTTTTAGTCCTTATTTACACTTTAAGTTTCTCACACTTGAGAAACTATTCAGTATTTACACATGTGTGTTCTATTTATTTCACTTAAGAGTATTACCTCAATGTGCATCCATTTAGCTACAAATGTCTCTAATTTTTCATTTTGTATGGCTGATTAGTACTCCATTTTATTTTTTTTAAAAAACACATTTTCTTTACCCAGTCTCCAGTTGATAGGCATTTGGGCTTTTTCCATATTTTAGCTATTACAAACTGCTGGTATGAACATGGGTACAGATATATCACTATGGTATGGTTCTTTTAATTTTGGGGGGAAGATACCCAGCATGGGAATAGCTGGGTCAAATGGGACTTCCAGTCCTAGTTCTTTGAGGTATCTTCATGCTGATTTCCACAGTGGTTACACCAGTCTACACTCTCACCAGCAGTGGAGCAGGGTTCCTCTTTCCCCACAGCCCCGCCAGCATTTGTTATTGGTTGATTTCATGATAGC